AGAGAGATTATGTAAAAGTGCAAATTTCCAATGATGAATGTCATTACATTGTATACCTGAAATGTACCAATAAAATAAAAATTTTTTTAAAAAGTGCCTGTCTCCAAACTTAGCCCTGAATGCAGATAAGAGAATTTTTCTCTGAGAATTTATAACAATAAACAAGCCCTCACATGGGCTTGCAACTAAACCTTATGTTATCTGAATGATCAGAAATCCTCAAACCATTTAAAGCTGTCTCTGAAAGGACCTATTTTCAACTTAGGACTCAAAGACTTTTCAGAAATAATGTTCTAAGATAGTTAAGCTCACAATTTAAAAAACATACAAGTAAATCAAGGACCAATGGTAAGAAGCCACAGAGGCATAGACACCATATTTAGGTCTACCAAGACCTCACATACTGGAATTATTAGCACACAAAGGAAAGCAAATACATATAATATGTTTACAGAAATTTTAAAAGATTTGAAAAAAACAGCAACTGATTACTAAAAATGACCAGGCACTTTGACAAAATAAACTTTCAGATATGAAAATAATAATTATAAAATTCAGTGGATATGTAAGTTTAAGAGCATGTAAGATATAGTTGAAGAATTTGGTGAGCAAAACAGTTAATGAAATAAATGGTTGATATTTTTTGGCACATTTTACTGCCTTCTGGCTTCCATTAGTACTATTAAGAAGTCAGGTGTTGGGCTGGGGATTTAGCTCAGTGGTGCCCCCACCTGCCTAGCAAGCACAAGGTCCTGAGTTCGATCCCTGGTACAAAAAAAAAAGTCAGATATTAAGATATCTAATTATGTTCCTTTGAGGGTATTTTTTCCCCATCTGGCTGTTTTAAAGAACTTTTCCTTGTTTTTGGTGTTCTATGTTTTTTATTATGGTGGATAAAATTATAGATTTGTTTTTAGTTTCCCTGCTTGAAATTTATTGAGAAGCCTGAGCATGTGAATTTTTGTCTTTTATCAGTTCTCAAAAAATTCTTGATCACTAACTTTTCTCACATTACCTTATCTCCATTCTCTTTTTTCCCTCAAAAACATCAACTAGACCCATGTTAGATCTATTCCATATAACTTAACCTGTCATATTTTCTGTCTGTCTCTCAAATATGAATAATATCCACACATTTGTCTTCCAACTCACCAAGTTCTCACTTCAACTGTGAAACCAAGTACTATGATAATTGTTAATTTTATTATGCACAATAATAGTTTTGGGGTTTTAAAATAAATTCCTTAATTTTTAGAACCACACACTGAAGTATTGGATGGAGTGAAATGTAAAGTCTGTACCTTAACATCCAAAGAGGGGATGGGCTGGTTCTCTAACATTCCACAATCTGGATGTGGTTTTATAGGATTTTTGTTTTTGTTACTGTCTCTGCTTTGTGCATGTTAGAAAAGTTTCATGATACAAGAGGACCAGGAACATCAACTAGATTTCATATAATTGCCATTTAAGGTTTTTTTCAAAAACAGTGAAAAGGTATCAGAAGCCAGTGCCATACATGAACAGAAATTTAACAGGTTAAAAAATTAATTTTTTAGGAATTTAACTTGCCTAAACCAAAAGGAACTATATACAAGGTACAATGATATGTGGTCTCTGAAGATAAGAGTTCCTGGCTATCCTGGATGGAAGGGAAATCCACATGCTCAGGATTTTACAGCCAGAAATGGACCAAATGCTTCTTTTAGCAGCGATCAGAATCAAATTTAGCCTTTATCTTCATCACCATAACAAAATGAAATATTGTGTGCGGAAAAGATCAGATTATAGAGCCATATGAATGTAAGATACTTGAAATATTTAAAGAAGCAACCATATATGCAAAATAATCACTTTGGAAACAATTTTGGAAAAAAACACTTTGGTAAGCCACTTTGGAAAACATTCGGCAGTTCCTCAAAGTGTTAAAAATAGATTTATGACATCCAACGATCCCATTCCTAGGTATATACTCAAGAGAACTAAAAATTTAGTCAGGCATGGTGGCACAAACTTGCACTCCCAGCACTTGGGAGGCTGAGGCAGGAGGATCACCACAAGTTTGAGGCCAGCCAGGGCTACATAACTGAGTTCAAGGCCAGTCTACACTACAAAACAAGACCCTGTCTCAAAAAAACAAAACACAACAAGAATTAAAATGTATGTCTACATAAAAAGTTGTACCCAAACGTTCACAGCATCATTATTCATAATAGTTCAAAAGTGGAATGGATGGATAAACAAAATATAATGCCATCTATACATCTATATAATAGAATATTACTCAGCAACAAAAAGGAATGAACTACTGGCACATGCCATAACATGGACTAACCTTGAAAACATGTGAAGTATAAAATGTCCAATTTAGGCAAACCCATAGGCACAAAGTAGATTAGCAGATGTTGAAGGGGATGGGAGAATGAACAGTAAGTGCTAATGGCTATGCATTTCTTTGAGCATAATAAAAGTAACCTAAAATTAGACAAGATTGTACAACTCTGAATATACTGAAAACCACTGAATTGTGGATTTACATTCATAAATTTTATGCCATGTGAATTATATCCAACTAAAACTGTTATTTTTTAAAAGGGAATAGGAGGAGGAGAGGATTTGTACCAAAATGATTTTATTTCACACCACTCTTAATGCCACCTGGGTACTAAAGTTTTCTGTCAAATTCAGGAAGTTGCATGACTTTTTTTTCCAGAAACTGAGAAAATGCCACACTGTCTGAAGCAGAAACAATAAGAAAGCCAAGAAATTGCCATTTTAATCCCCTACATCTACCCCTTTTTGTCGCAGTAACTTTTCAGCCTAGATGACAAGGTGGCTAAGAGGACACACTCTCCTACCATGGGGCTAATGGAGGATCATGCAAAATGACAGGCCTCCCATTCATAAAAGTTCCCCCACTAACCAGCAATGAACATATTCACTGTTGAAGAAACAGCTAAAATGGTGTGCGTGTGTGTGCACGTGTGTGTTTGGTGCTGGGGTTTGAATCCCCAGGCCACTATGATGATCGCTTTAATGTAATTGTCAAAATGGTCACGGGTATGATCCCATGTGTACTTCCACACAAATACAAGGGAATCATGTGGGTTTCCAGTGTCTAAATGATTTCTCAGTTTGTCTGCTGTGATGACAACAGATTACTTTTCAGTCCAGTTGGCTTTCACTCATCTTGTGCTTTCTGTCTCCCTTTTCCCCTTTTTCAGTGGCTGCTTCAACCCCCAACTCCACTGCTGGTGCAGCCATGAATTCTTTGACCTCTCTTGGGACTCTGCAAGGATTGGCTGGAGCCACTGTTGGACTGAATAATATTAATGCACTAGCAGGTACCATAAACAGTGAGTATTTACTGCTCTGGTGGACAGCCTTCCCCCAAATTCTCCACAGAAAATGGTCAGCCAGAAATGACCTAAAAAGGACATGGAATGGGGAGAACTAAAACTTGGGATGGAGGAGCACATGCTATAATAAGCAAATGCTATCTACATTCATTTTGTCTCAAAAAATGTTCAACCACTTACCACCACCCCCTAATTCTTTCCATTATGTAGTAAAATAGTCATCCATAGTTTGCTGTGGTTGACAGATATTTTCAGGTTTCCAGGAATTTGGTTTGGTTTTAGTTTTCTTCTTTCCTGATGCAAGGAACTGTGTTATAATAGAAAAACTAATGGAGTAGAAGTCAGGAGCATGCTCCCGATCAACTGTAAGAGCTCAGGTGAATCACTGCTCCCTCTCTGGGCTTCTGAGTCCCCATTTGAAAACTGAAAGTTCTGGATCTGATGATCTTAAAGGTACCTTCCAGTTTTAAAATACAAAGATTCTTGACAATTAGAGGAAGAAATGAGACCTTGGAAAAAAGGAAATGAAACAAAGTGGAGAGGAGGTGCTGCTCGAAGAATATTAGCAGTGACATCATTTCACAGTGGCATCATTTTACTGGTAGGGTGAAATAGGTTTTGAGGAAAATAGCTTACCATATTACACTTTGTTCTTAAACACGAGGGCTCACCAAAGAACTCTAGGATCTATCTTATACAGCTAACCTGTACTTGTTCCTGTCACTTTAAATGTACATGGGAACTAGTACCCCGGCCCGAGAATAAGTTATAGTTTAGGCCTATGCATAATGTATGACCTAGGGCTGGGAAAAGTGATCCTCAGCCCACAGAAAGGACACCTAGTTTGCCTGTGCTTGCATTCAGTCACTCTGGTTGCCTTAGAAAGATGGAGAACTAGGATAACCCATGATTTTTGAGTTTTGGACCCAGTTACATACCATATAGCTCAAGCCACCTAACACCTTGCCTGTATTTATTTTTAATAAAGGCATCCTCACTATTTGCCCTACTTTAAGCCATGACTCAATAAGTAAACTCTTTTTTAAAGCCAAAAACAAATTTATACTTTAAAAGTTCAGAAAGATTATCGTGCAATTTATTTGGTTAAAAAAAAAAAAACCCTAAGACTCATTCAAATATAGATTAACTTGTATAATCCTGATAAGAAAGTAAATCATGTTTAGAAGTAGGAAATTTTCAGAATTCAATTGCTCTGAGGAAAAAAAACTCACTAAGTTTTATCTGATCATAGCAAAAATAAAAATGATGGCTGTTGGTTAACATATACTATAGATGGGTGGTAACCGTGTGAAAGTCCAATGTTTTATTCCAGTTAAAACCGCCTCCAGCTTTTACGTTCTCCAGCAGACAAACAGGAGCCTCATTGCCTTGATTCCTGCTTCTGGTACAGCTCTTTCTGACCTTGTCCTGCAGAAGCGCCAGCCCACATGTCCTTCACCTAGGTTGAGGACGTATGCGTTCACCCACATCCCCTCATGCTGCTTCTCTTGCCCCAGGACCTAGTTCCCCTCAAACAAGGACTTTGATTTGATCGCCCGCCTGTCCTTTGTCTGCAGAGTAACAGGCCAGTGGGAATGGTTGTCCTCCTCAGCACGTGCTCATGACTGCTGTTTGTATGTCCTCTTGTCTGTGTCCTGCTCCTCTCCACCCTACTCTGTTGTACGTTTCTGGGCTTTTACCATCGTAATCATGAAGACCACAGAGGGACTTTGTGGAATGTCAGAGAAACCATAACTAGTTCTGTGTGAGGCGTTATGTTATACCAAATTTGCTCTGGCAAGGACAACAGGTTTAAATTGCTTTGCTTCTTTTAATTCTTTGTCATTGGGTTAACTGAAGAATGTATAATTTATAGGAAACTAAGAAAGAATGTTTCTGGTTTCAAATAACTCCTACCAATCAGTATGAACCAGGAAAATGTTTAATTAAATCAAAAATTATACACGAATGGAAACACATTGCTTCTCATTTGATGTGTTACTAATACAGAGCTCTGTTACAATCTCAAAATTGACTTGGAGTTAATATTTGCTACTTGTCTCAAATTAAATATCAAGAGAAAACTTGCTGGAATAGAGCATCCTCTTTTTGGAACAGAGTATTCTCTTTCAGATCATTCCTCAATAGAACTGATAATGCTACCTGTTCTCCTGGATAATTCTCAAAGAAATTAATAAAAATGGCTCTGTGGACAGAGTCACATTCTAAAATAGTTAACCATAGCTTCCATATCTTTGCTCTTTTCTGTCCCATGAACCATTACTTAATACCACAAGGAGTGTAAAATTTCTGGTTTTGGTTTTTTTTAATGGAACCAGCTCTTTCCATGGACAAAGAAATAAAAAAGAAAGTAGGCAGATGACTTACCTTACTTAGCCTAGATTTGATCTTATTCTCTTCTAGAGAACCCCACTTCTGAAAGACAGTTTTGGGTTTGTAGATAAGTAGCTAAATTAAAGTGAATTTTATACTTTTTCTTCCCTAATACATTACTGAGTGAAGATGCTTTAAAAAGAAAAAAAAACAGCTCTAAAAAGCAGGAATCAGTAAGATCAGAAGAAGGAACATGGGTAATTCAGGGCTTTCACCTCTGGATTATCTGAAGGTTCTCTGGGCACGTTTTATATATTAATATCTGAACTAAGATGGAGAAAAAACTTTGTTCAGTTACATCTACCCAAAAGTTTATGCCAAACTTGATATGCTTGAATGTACATCAAGTAGCATCTTTATTTTACCTTGCATAAACTGCATAGTTCTTCCAAATAGCTTACCATATCACACTTAAAATTATGATTATTTTAACATAACTAACGCCAAATGGCTGGTGAGGAGTGTTTATAAAATTATTCTATGTAACATACAAAAAAGATGCTTTGAGCATAGTATGGTACCTTGTCACTTTTAATCTGCATTTCAACAATTGAAATTACTGTTCTAACTTGTACTCTTGTAATTTACTAACATGTATGGAGTTAAGATACATGCACAAGTGCACACAGTGCCACACATATTCGTGAACTTAACACAGGCATACATGAAAGTGCCACTAATTGCATTCATATTTTTATTTATCTACCCTGGCTCCGGACATTTTATACTGAGGTTTTCACTTAATAGCTTGTAGCTTAGAATGACATACTTCATATATATAAAGCAAAATTTATCCCAGAAAACAGGTTACAAATCTGTGAGAACATACTCATACATTCCTCACTTTTCTTTTTTATTTGGTATAAAACCTAGCAGAATGGCTTGCAAATCAACACAGTCTGCTTATGGTACTCTACCACTGACACTACTTTTCAGAACCAGCTCCATAGTGGCCACTAAAAATATTCATGCTTATACTTATGGGTATGTATATCATTTTAACAGATTTACTCAGTAACCTCACAGCTTTTTGGTCTGTATCATTTGAGGGCCTTCAGAGAATAATTAAGGGTAAAGCACTTAGTCAGGCTACTTACCAACTACTTTGACAGACCATTACAGAGACTTCCTTTGCAAAAGTTTGTCACACCTATCATATTATTCCTGCCTTCATCAAAATAGCTTGCATGAGAGTCTAGATTAAATAAGAGGAAATAGTCATCCATTTAGCCTTTTCAAAGAAAAGCCCTGTTCTTTTAATTGAAAGCATTTTATTCAACTTAACTTACCCCTGCTTCTATTGTCCAGGACTTTTTAGAAGTAATTAGATACGAGCAGCTAAGTTGATGAGTATTATCTTGATATAATGCTTATTTATTATAGAATAACATCAGGTAATTCATGGGAATTACTGGCAAAAGTCCAAATCTTCCTTGGATGTTTCCTCAAATTCTGCCATGTATTCACTACCTTTTCTACCCTAGGTTTTGCATACAACCCCCACCCCAATTTTCCAAGGTAAATTTTGAGTTTTAGTATTCTCAATGCACTTGCCTTCGTTAGAATTTCTGCCTTTATTTTTTGTTCTAAAGATCGTTATACCATAGAGAGTTTGGCTGATGCCAAACTCTCCCTCTCTTTTTATATGGCTCCTGATTAGTCCCCCTTTGGCATTCACATCCCATCCACTTGATGCCGCCTTGGCTACTTTCCTCCCCTTCCCAAGGCAGCTAAGGCCAGCCTTGACTATCTCCCAAACACACAGCACCAGCAAAAGCAAACAATCCTTCAGAAAGCAGATTTTCTCTGAGGTGTGGTGTGAAAACAGCCAACCAGTGGGACCTAGAGGTAGGAATGATGGAGGACGAGGCTAGAGCTACAACCCTCACAAGAGTCCTGTTTAGTTCTGAAACATCTCTCTGACGCAGTATTTCAGAAACATGAAATTTCATTCTGTTTCTGTGTTTTGAGAAGAAAAAAGTTGGTAAAACAGGGGAATGACTTTAAAAGATAATCCACCTGACCTGGATAATAGAAAAAACCACAGACAGAAGAAAGATGGGGTACCAGTGACCACTACAGAGAGACCTCCTGGAGAAGATGAGGGGCTGAGGGTACAGACCGCAGGAAGGCACTTCTGTACGGCTAAATTGCAAAGTCTGAAAACTCCAAGACCCTTACCTACAAGACATAGAGATGTGGCAGTCTAGTCCATTCTGTGGAATGGCAGGGGGATTCAGAGCTCCGTAGTCATCATAATGGAGCTAACGCCTTCAGCCTGTAAGACTGTCAGGCAGCTGTGCTACCCAGAGCTCCCTGGGCTGCCACATACACCAAAAAGAACCACACACCTAGAGGCATCAGTAGAGTGGCAGGTCATTGCTCACTTTCCTGTTAAAAATTCTTCCCACACAGGAATCTGAGTTTCCAGACGGTTGAGCACAAGACTTGATCTCCTCTCTCTCTAGCACCTATTAAAAGCCTGACAAAAGTAGAACCAATAGAACTCAGGAGTGCCTCCTCCCTTGCTATGTCACTTTACACCTTCCTCTCACCTGGGGGCGGGGCGGGGGGGGGAGAAACATGAGTAACACGGTGTTTGCATAACACAAATATTGGGAAGTGAGGATGAAATTGGACCAAAGAAGGAAAAGAGTAATTACTCCCCAGTCCTTTAGTAACCATAACAACAGGAATGGAAAAAAAGAAGAGAGACAATGAGGTAAATGTGATTAGTTGGTGTCTGAGTAATCATTTAGATTAATTAGCAAGACAAACTATTTCTAAGCTCTTTAACAGTGATTATTTGCATGACCATAAAAAAAGAATAGACTCCTTCATTGTAAGAACTGCAAGCAAATACAGCAGGACCTTTTGGCTAACTCAGGCTTGCTGGATCTGCTTGAAACCACTTCCTTTCTCAGTTACTCCATTCTCAGGCCCTTCAAACCTGCCTCACCAACCTGCCCAGCCCTCTCTGAGGATGGTGTCCTCTGCACCATCCCCCACAGCCCAGCTGTGTCTCCTCAGGCCCCATAGCAGGAATCCCACACCTGAGGCACTGTGAGAGCCTTCTACCTTTAAGCTGTGGTCTAATTTATATCTTGCATGTTGTCCTTTTAATCTAAGAGATGAAGTTGGCAAAATAAGAGAAGCGCCTATCGAGTAAATAGGACATGCCCTACCTCCTCTATTTCCTGTGGATGGCAAGCAGGAACAGTGATAGGAGTGTTAAGGTGATTCTATTTGATTCCTCTGTGTAATTTGCAAGCATCCTTATCTTAGTTGTCCTCTATTCTCATTAGACTTCTTACCAATTTTCTTCGGTTAGTTATTCTTGCTATTTTAATACCTCTAATCAATAACCCTAATCCCATCAGGATTTTCATGAATGCTTAAAGTTTTTCTGAGAAACAGATCTTTTAAAAACCTTTTTTTTTTTTGGTACCGGGGATCAAGTGCAGGTCCTTAGGCTTTTGCGAAGCAGGCGGCGAAACCCCTGAGCTAAATCCCTGGCCCAAAAACCTTTTTAATCATAAAGGGAACCACAGGCAATTGTGATGTCACCTTTTCCATTTCCTGCATTTACAATGAAAAGTTAACACTCTAGGAAGCACTGCTTGTTTTGATGAGTTCTCAGGGAAAATGTGACATAATCTGCAACCAGAATAGAGCAGCCAGAATACATGGACAAAATCAAGAGAGCAACTAACTCATCAACATCCATTTCCCATCATTTAATAGCCAGGATCCAACACACAGACAGTATCACTGCATCTGACTGGGAAAAGATGACATGAAGCTTTTTCTCTGGTACAAACCTGTTAACCGGACAGTGATGAATATACATGTGTGGGTGCACATATGTATACAATACTCCTACTCCTTGGTTTTTAAATCATCTAGGCTGTTTATTCATAAGGTCCTCATTCCTGACAGCACCTTTCATTCATTTAAGAAAACCAGTTAATGGCCTTGCTGACTCACTGGTTTTTAGAGCATAGAACTTGTCTGTTCTGGCATTTCCTCATCAGACGGCTTGAAGGGAAAGAAAGTTTTATTTTATCCTTGCGACCTTACCCCCTTGAGCCATCCCATGACTCCTCAAAGAGCCCAGTAAATGGATTTCAGTGTACAGATATCATGAGCCTCTGCCACTAATGTTTTCTTTACATGCTTCTAAACTCTAAGCAGAAGGCTTTTATTTCTGAAAGATAACAATGGTACTTGCCAGTAGCACACTGCATGGAATTAAAATGTACTGTCCAACTGTAGTGCCTCAGTGAATTTTGATTACTGGCCTAGGGAGTGAAGGTTATCATTGCTTAGGTATTTTTCCCATTATTGTGATTATTTCCTCATGGTTTTGTTTTGATTTTCTGTTGGTTTAATCGGTGTGCTAGCTGCATGCACTTGCTGTTGTACTTGTGTCAAATGATTCTCTAACTTCCTTTGGAAAGCACTAATGAATAAGTGCTATTTCTCTTCTCTATTGTTGGGTTTTTTGTAAAGTTGCTCAAATGCTCTCAGGTATGGCGGCTCTGAATGGAGGACTTGGCGCCACAGGCTTGACGAATGGCACAGCTGGCACCATGGACGCCCTCACCCAGGCCTACTCAGGAATTCAGCAGTACGCAGCAGCTGCGCTGCCCACTCTGTACAGCCAGAGCCTGCTGCAACAGCAGAGCGCTGCAGGCAGCCAAAAGGAAGGTATGTGCCCACCCTGGGCCCCACGCTGGGGCCTGGCAGGGCCACCCTACCCACATTTACCTTTAAAGTACACTTAGAAGATGCTGAACTGAACTCATGTCATAAGAGAAGTCAGTCATTTTTATTTCTAGTGTTTTATTTCCTGTGTTCGTGTTTTTAAAAATTGCAGGCTTCAGTCATTTGTCTTCTCTCCTGTTCATCTTTTAGTTTTTCATTCAGCTATTAAGCTGAAGTTCTCATCCCTTGTACTTTTACATGCATTTATTAGTTGCTGCCATCTGAAATTTGTGAGGAACCTCCCTCTCTCCAATCAGCATGGACCATCATTTTCTCCCTTAATGCAGAAACTCCTCTTAGTAGAAGGCTTGTGTGGGTGAAGCATGCTCCTTCCTACATTCCCCAGGATCTCTGAGTCCATTCATCCTATGATTGTGTGGCTGCCTATCAGTAGCCAATGCTTCTCAAGGTAATGATCCACCCTTAGGATCAACTTGGTCTTTGTTTAATTGGGGGTCTTCTGGGGAAGCAAATAACTGATTGATTGCCTTGCTTCTCCGCCAATAAAGCAAAATAAACTTCAGGAAGTTGATGCTAAGGATAAATTAAAGCCAATTATAAAATGGTTAATGACCTAATCTAAATATAGTTTGTCATCATCCCTTTTGATTCCTTCTTAAATTGCTTTAAAACAAAATCAGCAACAAGCTATTTATTTTCCCTTACTTGTTTAGAATGTAGAGAAATAAGCTAAAATAGAAAATTAATAAAGATTTTCTAAAGTTTCCTTTCTCCTTTGCCTTCACCCACTAGTTCCAAACTGCTTTTGTCTGTCTATTCTTTTTTTTTCTTTTTTTAGTATGGAGGATCAAACTCAGGACCTGGCGCCTGCAAGGCGTGGTGCCACTGAGCTAAATCCTGTCTGACTATTCTTAAAGCATGGTGTTCTGTAAAAATCATTTTACTTTGAGTTGTGATTTTTAGGAGAACACAGCCTAAAAGGTATTTTTTTAAGTTTTTTCCTTTGATAAACAACATAGAGATCACTAAAATGAAAGGTACATGAAAGTCTAGGTTTTTTTATCATTTCACTTTTCTCTTTACTCTCAGCTGTGACTGTTATTGTAGGTTTTTTAAACATGCAACTAACTGTTCAGACAACTATAGTTCACCAGTCATGTAAAAGGGACCCTACATCATAACCACCACAAGTCTTCCCTCCAGGGTTTATTTAGTCATTTTGCCTGGGGTCTGACTACCATGGTGACAAATAAGGTGGTAGAAGAGATCCTGTAAGGTGCTATCCTCAGACAGAGACTATATATACTTTTGGAGAATGTTGGTCACTTCTCCATTATCTAGCAAGGCCTTACAGTTATATAGCTTGTGCCGCTGAGAAAAGACCCAAAATTCAGTGGCTTAAGTGGTCCCTAAGACCTTTTTTTTTTCAATTGCTTCATTACTGCCCTAGGGATTTGCAATATAGATCAAAATAACTATTACCTACTCCTGATTAACGTAGCTCAAGAAATTTAACCTGTTGGTTTAAGTAAAATGTAATTTAAAAGGCAAATTATACTAGGAGAGGGGAAAACAATGAATTTTATTAGAGAACAGATTTTGAGATTCCTGCTCCAGTTAGTCCTTTAGTCAAGAGAACTAAAAGGTAACTTAATGTATTTAGTCCTGTACCCTGGTATATTCCTCCCTCCCCAACACACAGAAAAATGAGCCAGTCTGTCTTGTAAATAAATGGTTTTAACTTTTTCCCAAATAAATCTTCTGAAGGGTTATGGCATCCCAACAGATCTAAATGGAGGCAAACTCACCGCCTTTCTGTCATTCCTAAATATCTTCTGACTACTCTCTCATATCTTCCCATCTTCCTTCATTTGCAGGAGGCAAGTCATACACACACAACTTAGGGCTTCCAGGGACCAACAGGAAGCCAGAGGCACTGACGGTCTGGTACAGCTTTGTTCCTGCAGACTCTCCCAATGTTTATGCTACATCACGTGTTCTGTGAGAAATGTGAAATATAAACACTCCAACTAGCTGAACTAGCAATGTAACACCAATAACTCTCCCAAGTTAAAATTACAGATAGTAGGAGAAATTGGACAAAAGGGTGATTTGTGGATAGGATTTTATTACTTCTAGATGTAGAGAAAAAGGACAGTTCACAAACAGCATCCTCATGGGGAGAAGGTAATGGCCACCTCAGTTGCATAAAAGGGAGGCTTTCCATATGAAATTATCTTTTTCTCATCTTAACACTAAAAATCTAGGGGTTTAAAAAAATAATATAGTTTCTTGGTGATGAAAAAGCAGGGCTGTGGGGGCAAACCAGAAGATGCTACTGCCTTTTTTTCTGGGAAAATAATGAGTGAAGGTGCAAAGCTTCCTTCTGATTTTCACAGTCTCCATCTGGCATGGATACATTCAAAATGTACAGAATTCTAGAATGCCAGGATTACTCAGGCATACCCAATAAACTGTCCTGTGCATTAAATGTTATTTTCCCCAGGCTTCAGGAAGAGATATACTTCATAATTCAAATCAGGTCACATTACTCCCCATTTATGCATTTAGATCTTTCATTCAGAAGGAATATTAAATCTGGTAGTACTAGATTTGACCAATATGCATATTGCAAAGGATGGGCATGGCCCAGTAACACTCAGAGCATCCATGTCCAATGTTTTGGTTCTTGATCTATTCATATTAAGTAAACCCAACAGTTATATCCCTTTGAAATGCAGGCTGCCTCCCCTGCACTACAATAGGGATCCATATATAGCATCTGTGACCAATACAGAAAGTTACAGTACTCAGGTAGACACATCTTTTAGGAAGAAATAGTTTATCTCTGGCTTCAGTCATATGTATCAAAGTCTGCCTTGTGAAACTCCCATTCATTGGGACACTATGATTTTATGGGAGCAAGAGAAGAAACTCAGATATTCTTCGCAAAGGTGTTTATCCACTTATTTTTACAAAGTTCTTTTTATCCCCATTTTATTTCTCTTCAACTCACACACCGCCACCTTTCCTACCTCTTCTACCTTTCCTACCCCACTGCAGCCTGTCCCCTGGGGCTTCACAACAGGGCAGGCAGACCTGGTCCCTCTCCTGTGAAAGCCAGTTGCAGATCCACATACCAGCTGCAGAATTTACTTCACCACCTCTGTGAGCTCCCTTTGCTCCTATACAATGTCCAAGAGACATCCAACCCTTATTCTCCAACTTAACTTGGATTCCTTATTTTTAACTTTTGGACAGCTCTTCTACTGGTGGGCAGAGAGTTCAGAGAGTGAAATTAAGAAGAACTTAAAAGACCTTGCTCCCTCCACCCAGTATAACTAAGAAGATCTCTCTTCTGTCCTTATTTCTGGTATTTGCTGGAAATGGATGGGTAAAGAGTAAGAGATTAGCTTAGCTCAGTCTGAGAAGCTCCATATCTACTGCACTCATTTTCAAGGTTAATTCCATGTGGTAGAATTCTTATCAAAGTTATGAGACTCTAACTACCTTTCTTTCCTGGGCATTGACTGACTGCCAGTCATTTCTAATAAAGATGATTATTATACTATATTGAGAGTTGGCAAATCAAAACTGGCTGGGTAACTGGGTTTAAAATGATTGAGAAATCTAAGCAGCATTGCTGCTATATTCATTATTCTAAATTGCTGCAATTTGCTTGGGATGCATAGAACATTCTCCTTTCCTCTAAGACAGTCTACATGTAAGAAAAAACAGTCACCCAGGAAAAACCCATGCCTAGATGCTCTACCCCTATCCTGCCTACTGCTACCATCTTCACCCCCATGAAGAGGAGAATCATAAGAATGCTAGCATGTAGGAAGTACATGTGACCCACAGAAGACTCTGAAAAGGAAGCTATGTGTAGCTGGTATCTTTTTGGAAATTAGAAAAATTAGAAGAATGAGTGCCTTCCTGAAAGACATGCCAGCTCTTGACATTTATCCATCTGTTTACTCTTACATAAGAGAAATGTTTAACCTACATGTTGTTAAAACATCCCTAAGAAGAGGCCTGGGCAACTAAGACTTGAGGGATACCTTACACTGATTTTTTCTTCCTCTTTAGGTCCAGAGGGGGCAAACCTCTTTATTTACCACCTTCCACAGGAGTTTGGAGACCAGGACATTCTACAGATGTTCATGCCTTTTGGAAATGTTATTTCTGCTAAAGTCTTCATTGACAAACAGACCAATCTGAGCAAGTGCTTTGGTATGCAAAAGAAACCAAGTTAGAATATTCCAGTAGGTTCCCAAGTGAGAGAAAAATGTGAATGATATTTTTGTAGTCAAGATAGGCCCTTCCTGTTTGTGTGTTGGGGGGAAGTATTTCTTAACTTCTGAATACGTGTAAGCAGATTTAGGCAAAGCCGTCTAATCAAAATAAAAGTGAAGTATCTGGGAAATTCCCTTACATTATGTAATATTCTATACTATATTCTTAAAGTGTTTTACTATATATCTAATAATTTTAAATTGTAGAGCAATAACCATTTCTTCAAGCCCTGTAAATTTAATCATAAACTTTTATCAGATTGAAATACAGTTAACAGGCTGTAGTTTAGTCTCTGTTGATATAGAAGAGTACTGCAGACACTTTGCCACTAACTCCTTATCCTCCTCCAGGTTTAATATGACTCAGACACCATTGTATGGGTCACATGTTATCCTGGGAGGCATACTGTTTAGTGCCTTGACATACACTTATATTCACAAGTACGGCTGTGGCCACATTGCAACTCCATGAACATAGGATGAGCAGTTGATGAATCTCATGGTTACACAGAGCATCCTGATGGGATTAAAGGTCAAGAATTTGGGCTTACAATATTGGCAGGAACAACATGAATGGACACAAAGCACAGGAATTATGCAGGTAGCCCAGCCTCTCCGTGCTGCTCAAAGCTAGCTGCATTGGCTAGTGTGGTTGTCAAACCATCCTTCCTCAAGCAACTGTCTCAGACTCTGACTCCTGTGGTACTGTTTTTTTTCTCCCTCCCTAAGAGAGTAAGAAAAGTTCACAGCATGTGCTAATGTTTTCACACGGGGAGGACAACATTCATTAATTCCATTCCTTTTTTTCCAACGCTTTGGCCCACAAAGAAGTTTAGGGGCCAGGATGTTCAAAGCACATATTACTCATGTGGCAAGTTCTCACCCAGTTTGAGTTACAGCATTAGCTTTAATCACTCCTGCAATTTAATAGTCATGCTGGTAGTAGGCAGCAACAGTAGCATAACACAAAATAGATATAGATCAGAAGAAACACATAGAATTGTATGTTTTAAGAAAAAATATTGAAGGGAGGCTGGTTCTCAAACACTTAAAAACTGAAACTTACAAGTTGGCACACTGGCAGTGGGTAACAAGTCCAAAAAGAATGTTGTGGCTTCTAAACCTCCATTATTGTAAAGTCTGTCTGACTTCGATGCCACCACCCAGGAAGGTCTGAGGCTCTGCTGTTAGAGGAATTAGTATGTCAACCATTTCGAGTCACTGTTTTTACCCTAGTGGGAAGGCTGTCAGCCCAAACCCATTACACTATTGCTGCTGCTGTGAGGACTATATATAGTCTTTTGTAATGGTTCATGGGAGTGAAATGGGAATTAAGTTGTTACATAAGGTATGGGTGAGCATGAGCTTACCTTTGGGAGGCTTTCCTGCACAAGATTTTGAGGTACCCTTTTTTTTTTGGTACCGGAGATCGAACTCGAGACCTTGTGTTTGCAAGGCAGGCGGTGGAACCACTGAGCTAAATCCTCGGCCGCCTTTTATATTTTTTTAAACAGATGAACAATAGTTTAGGCTTATTTAGAGATTGGAAAAGGACTGTGCTTTGTGGTTTGAGAGAATATTATCTTGAAAGAGATTATCAGTCCACAAACTACTTAACCAATGTGTTCATAATAATGCAAACTATAGCTATGAGAATCAGCAGACTATAATTTAGCAATAGGGGCTATGTTTTAAAGTTATATATAAAAAGCCTTAACATCCTAGATTTCTCAGTGAGCCAGTCTGTTTTCTTAGGACCGCATTTTGCTAGAGTACTAGTCATTAGATGATAGCCCCTTCTTTCATTTGTACCTGTTGGCTGGGTTTTGTTATCCATCTCACTCTTGACACATTTCCATTCTTTAGTCATCTTGCAACTTCTGGATAAAGACCCTGGGGGAAAGGCAGTCAGAACAGAAATCCTGGATTTGAGATCACATTTTAGGGGAATGAGAATTAATACAAAAGTAAACCATTTTTGCAAGACAGCCTGCCTGAAAAAACCTCTTCTGCTTTATGCTGTATGCCCATTTGTATCAGCTGAGGGGAAAATTCAGCTCAAAGTATATTAGTCCTTTTCTTTCTCTTCTAGTTTGTAAAGGAATTTTCTCTTTAGCATTAAAGATTAACCGTAGATAGATGGAGATAGCATATAACCTTCTGAGCAGCTGATGTCAGAACTGAAACCAAATTGGTGTAACAGCTTCCTTTCTACACTAGAAGTCTGTAGGAACTCTACAAGCTCACCACTTGCCTCAGCTTTAACTAAAGCTTTGCTTGTACTCCTTCCTTGGCATCGCCCCTCAATGTTCAAACAAACTATATGATCAGAATTCTCCTGTTTATGAGTCTCTTAAGAGCATCACTGGTTCTTTTTCAAAAGCATGCCTTTCCTATTTTCTTGGTGGTAATGGCTGCTGCAGCAAAAGATACTGGGAATTCTGTTCAGATGGGTAAGCTCTGAGCTATTAGACTATTTATTCCTATTTCTCAAGAAGACTTTGAATGGTACAAGGTAGCAGTTTTGTTTCTGTTAAATTTACTGGAGTTTTGAAAATGGAAGAAATAAAATAAAGTAAACATATATATATATATATTATCCCTGTATAGGAAACTGGAACGACAGTGAAGGTCTTTGGTAGTACATACCTTATCCAGCCCTACTTTAACTGTCCAGCTTTTAAGCCTCACATGGTTGGGACATGGGAGCTGCTGGGGCCTCTTTGAGCTCTGGAATACTTATACTACTGCTGATATGAGTAGTGCTCACTTACCTACCTGGGGTTCAAATAAGGAGACTAAAGTCATTCAAACAACTAAGTTTGAGATTTTAGTCTTCTGGGGAGGGGTTCGATTTTACATACCAAATTACCAGTCCAATTAGCTTTTTACTACTTTTACTCAGTGGACATTTCTAATGCTGTCCCTTAAACATGTCCCCTAAAATGTTCATGACACACCATAAGTTTAGTAGTACCAAATTGAGACTGTGGGACTGACACCTATTAGCATTTGCAGTAACACTATGCTAGCCATCCCTGAAAGCTTCCTCTCCATCCTGACTGCCTCCCTCCTTTCCCTCTGTATTTTCCAGGTTTCGTTAGCTATGACAATCCAGTCTCTGCGCAAGCTGCAATCCAAGCTATGAATGGCTTTCAGATCGGCATGAAACGCTTGAAGGTGCAGCTGAAACGCTCCAAAAACGACAGCAAACCTTACTGATCCTAACCCCAGAGGCTCCCAGCTCTTATTTTAGCTTTCTTAGGGTAAGTCCCACGAGCCAGCCTGTTCTCAACAGGGAAGGCAGAGGAGGACCACATTGCCAACTTTTACCAAGAGAGACGGTTATTTTTACAATAAGGCCTCCATTTCCCCCACTCATCCCCCAGTTTGCCATAAAACTTGGGCTACCTTATTTCTATTGAGTAAATTCCTCCTCCAGTTGTGCCACTGTATTCTCCTTTGTTTTGCAATTTGAATCTCCTTTTACCTTTTTTTAAATTTGTCTTCTTGTTTTTGCTTTTTTAAAGAAAAATATACACACAAATAAATGACATCTTGAGAATTTAAAAGGCAAACAAAAGCTAATGTGCAATTCTAACTCTGAAACCACTGGTGCCCCAAGAGCACTGCCTGGAGAATTCACCCCTCTTTGTCCGCGCCACCTGCCCCTCCGGAGGGCCCCCGGCAGCGTTTAGAGTAACGTGGTGGCCTAGCAGAGGGAGAAGCCAGGAGAAGCACTTAAAACAACACAAAACGTCTTTCCACTACATCGGTTTAAGAAGTAGGATTTTATTTTAGGGTTCAAAGAAACATGACACTTATTGGTCATATTGGTCATATTATTACACTGGTTGTCTATTTTGTTATTGTTTTATTTTTGTTTTTAGAAAGGATTAATGTAAAAAAGATTTAGAGATCTGTTTCTTAAAGCTACAGGGTTTAAAAATAAAATAAAAATGAGTGAAAATACTTGATGTTTCTTGAAAGATAAATTTAATAATAATAAATAAATACATAAATACATAAATAAAAAGAAAGCCACAGGCCTGTAAATTTTATTTGTAAAAAAAGCATTTCTATTTTTATACAAAATTTTTACTGCCTCAGAAATAATGGAAGTTATTTATTGCCTATTGTTAACTTATTGGGTACCTAAAGAGCAGTTCTCTGTCTAGCTAGAACCTTCTGAAGTAGTCTCTAGAGGAATTGTTCTAGGAATGGGCTTTTTTTCACGGTTGAACCCTAGACCTAAAGTTCATGCTTTATCCTCTTGTTGTTCGTATCTGTCTGATTATTTTGTTTGTAATTTCCATTATCTAGTTTACAGTTCAGTCGTCTGACTTCCCCATATGTCACCTTTGTTGAAACTGGACCCTCTCCCCTGTCCCTTGCCAGTCCCACACCCCAAAACACCCAGAATCCATCCCCTCTCACTCTCTCCAGATGGATTCTCTTGGGGTTTCATTGTGCTGTGGAAAAAGAGTGTAAGAAATGCAAATTATGTGAATGGCTCGTAGACTCCCTAAAGACCTAAGATTTGCATTAGTTTTTCTCCTGCACCTTTAAAAGTGATTTTGTTGCTGCTGCATAGATTCTGTGTAACTTTTTACTCTTCCTTGTTTTTTCCCTAGACATCTTCATGCCCGTTAGTTCATCGTTTGCCTAGCATGTCCCTGTGGCGTCTCAAAAAAAAAAAGTTTCATCGTCCCGTCATTGTTTCTGATGTCTTTCTGACCTCACATCATATTTGGTTCTCCTACTGACCTTTGATCTAGTTTGACCTTTGAAATTTGCATGTGACCTCATCTAGCTATGAATTCTGGGAAGTCAATGTGAAAAACATTGCTGCATTCATGCAAGACTGAAATTAGACAAATTAATTATAGGGGGAAAAAAAACCTGTGGCAAAAATGTTTCTTTCTTATTTTTTTTTCTTTTCACAAAACAGACTTGAAAGTATTATACAGGGATTGGCATTCTTCCCGGTCACTGGTAACAATAGCAATATGTGTCCAGGGACACAGAATGTTGGTTTCTAACAGACTACTTCCAAAAACAGTTTGAGAAAAAAACTGTCTGATTTTAAGTCTCTAGAGGTCTGTAGTTTTTACATTTTTCAGGCAGTGTAAAGTTTTTTGATAAGGCCATTTTAGGTGGCTCACTTTCTCATTAAGATATATATATAGAACCACTTTTTGTAGATTAGTATAAGAAAAATATTTACCCTGTTTTGGGGCAAATGCTACCTATTTGTGTCACCTTTTGCTGAACTGACTCACAGTTAGACAATCCATGGTTTAATGCACATGAAATTACCTATATTTTATACTGTTTCAATGTACAGGAGAAAGGTTACTGTAAACTGTGTTATGTTGGTGCTTCTGTGAATTAAGTTGTGGTTTCATCATGAGTCTTACGGTCTTAATGTTCTTTGTTGATAAGACAAGTTTAGAATTGGTTTACTTAAAACAAAAAAGAATTTCAAAAAAAAAGTTGTTTGCTTAAAAAAAAATTTCATGTGAGGAAAAAAAAAACCTATTCCAGAATAAGTTTTGTGTTGGCTTGTGAAGCATTGATGTCATTTTTTCTTTCATTGTGGACTATTTAGACGTGTTTGTGTTCAGCAAAATGTGATCTTTTTTTTTCTTTTAAAGAAAAAAAGTGAAAATATATAGTGCCAAATTCCAAAGGTACTTCCTTCCTAGAGCTTCAGTGTGTTTCTTGTGAGAAGTAATTTGATAACATGGGTATTTTATTATGTGTTTTGTATAAATCCCTAATATTTAAAAAAAAAAAAAGGTTAAAAAGTTTGTTAACTTGCTATTCTGTGGTCTTGTTGCCTGAAATTGTTATTGTTTGTTATTTCTCTATGATGTTTTTTGTAAGACATTGTATAAGTGCCCATGTCTCACTTTTTTAACCACTCTGCCCATCAATGCTGTGAAAGCAACCTCACAATGTATTTTCTTCATAATATATGGAAACCTCTAAGGTGAGAAAGTTTTGAACTTTTAACCCTTTCTACCCAGAGCTATCTGGAATGTTGGTAACTTTTTATACTGTCATCATTTGAATTTGTTTTGGGGTATTTATAATTTGGATATTTTTTTCCTCATGAGTTGTTTTATTTGTACTACTTTTTTATCCTTTGAGATCCAAATTGAAGGGGGGAAAACAATTTGTGACCTATAACATCTTTTCTTCTACTTGGATTATTCTTATTTTTTTTAAGAATCCCTAGTGTCTTGTGTTCCATTTAAAATTGTTGAGTAAATCCTCTGAGGGGAAAAGTAGGTAGATCCAGCCTCTAAATAAACCTTTAAAATGCTACATGCTTTTTGAGATCAGATTTAGTGATATGTTCTAGTCTAAATATTTTCAGATACCTTGCAGTTAAAGGATTTTTGGGGTGGGATAGTCTGAGGGATTGCTCTTGTTTCTTAAATACTCCTGACATGTTTAATCAGCCTTTGTGCTGGGGATTTTCTGACCCCAGTGGGTATCTCCTGTGTAAGCAAGGTATCTGGAACAAGAAGCCCACCGTCCTTTCTCTTCCTTTTTCATTTTTTTCACCTGAACATATTTAAAGGGGACTGGCCATATAAGTAGAGCTCTGTTCTTTACCATAGTCACTGACCAAATACCTAGCACCACTTCCTGCTGCCACTTTTTAAAAGTGCCATATTACTTTGACTTTCTGTGAACAAAAACCCTAATGTTATATCCACAGCCCCAGTCCAAAACTACAACCTTCCTAAAATCAGGCCCTGGAAGCTTCTTGGTCTCAGCTCCCTCTTCCTACTCACCCCCCCCATTTGGTTGTGTGTGTGTGTGTGTGTGTGTGTGTGTGTGTGTGATAGCCCTGGGATGGAAAGGACTAGCCTCTAATAATGCAAAAAAAAGAAAAAAAAGTTTCCTTCTTATAGCACATGCACTTCTAATTAAATGATTTGTATTATCTTCACACGTGTTTACTACTGCCGGGGCCTTCCTTCATCCTTTGAGGGCTATTTTGTACTTCCTGCAGCACTCAGCTTAATAAAAGTTATTGCACATGTCTCTCTCATGTATCTATTATATGGTGGTGTATAGATACATAGATAGAAACACAAGAGAACACCATCTGAATTTCTTAGACCATTTCATTCAGAATCTATTCATTTATCTAAAAGAAATTTTTTTTTGTTTTTTTCACTGAAGCAAACTGCCCTGCTTTTCTCTTACCCACCTGCATCTTCCCCAGAGAAAAACAGTGCAGCTGAAAAGAGGCTCAAAGTGGGCACTCTGAGTTGAGCGTTAATGATTTTGCAGGCAGCCAAGACAGTCCATTTAGGGGGAAAGTCCTTTTTTGTTTTGTAGGTTTTGGGGGGTTTTTTCGCATGTTTCATTGTTAAAGATAACCCTCCTCCAAGACAAACTATCCTTTTATCTTTTAATATCAAAAGAAAGCACTGCAAGGGTGCAAAGGGCCTGTGCCAGGAGGCAGAGCACACAGGAAGACTGCTTTTTCAAAACCAAGTGTAGAGCATAGTCATTTTAAACTAAATTAGAGAAATGTGATAAAATGCCAGTCCTCAAAGGCATAACAAGTTCATCTTTCTTTCACCATAGGGGTTATAGTTCTTTGGCTTGTGCTACTCTGGCATCATTTTACTGTTTCTGTTTTTATTATCTTAAGTGCTAATTAAAAAGAAGAAATAAAATTTTAAAAAAACCTGTAGTTTCATTACCTTTTTGAATAATGTCATACAAAAAATGTATTTGTGTTTTTGTGCTGTGAGAATTGTTGTTTGTAGATTAATAATATCATTTTGTTTAGTACTACAAAATAGTTTTTAAATACTGTCTGAGAAAAGCCAAAGTTAATGCAACCTAGTGGAAACTGTAAGACCATTTGAGTATTGTTTGTTTTATTGATGCATTTGGATTTTGTTGTTTGATGGAATTTGAGCCAAAAAAACAAAAAAAACAAAAAAAAAACGCAGGCTTTCCTATTTCTACAACTGATTGTACTTATGCATTTTGTACCAGTGGAACTTTTTATACTGGAGATTAAAAAAATGGTAATTTTTGTGGCTTACTCATGTGGGCCCCCTGACAATGACTGATTTCAAGTTTGATTTCTGGTTGATCGAAAGAAAGTTGCTTTTCTTTTGAGAATTAAAAACTTTGGCTTGATTTCTTTTTTCCCTTTGCTTATATCTAGCATTAGAATTTTGTCTTAAAATACAGCGGTAAGTTTCACTCTTTATTCTGTATTGTGCAGTTACACAATAAGGTAGTTAGAGTTAGAAGTACTCAGTCACTTTAAGTGGATAAATGTATTAGTTAAGCTTTAGAGGTTTGCTTTTTTGCTGTTTAGATCAAAGTTTTTTCTGATTCTTCTGTCCTCATTGTGAACATAACCGTGTAGTTGAAACAGTCAAACTTATTTTTGTAATGTATGTTATTGTGTGATGCGGTTTTTTGCTTCTGTCTCCAATATTAAACCATTTTCCTAATACTTGTTTCTCTCTCTGCGTGTTGTATTGTTGGTAGTCATTATATGTTGGTGATGCATCTACACACCTCACTGTTTCACGTGTTTTTTTTCTATATGTTGTGTAACAAAGATACAGTCGATTCCAGCTAAGTGAATATCTGATTTGAGGAAAGGGAAAACTACACACCAGCCACCTTTGATTTTTGTACAACAGCCCACTCTAACCACTGCTTCCAAGACTGATACACCTTTTTCTATGGTTCACCTAAATAACTGCTTACCGAGCTGGATTTGCCAAGACGGTTTTGACCATACAGGTTCATTTCACCTCTTCTGACCTCTCTCTCTCCCTCTCTCATAAATATATATTCATTATGTATGCAGTTCCTAACATTCACTGAAATCTGCTGCTGCATAACCGTAGAAGAGAAGCAGCAGATCTGAGGTTTGTTCTGTCTACTTCGAAGTCCAAAGGCACACACTGTAACAGCCAAGCTCATTCTAGAAACTGGTGACCTTTTCAACAGGTGAACTCTCATGAGAGAAAAAAAACTTAACTGGTGAACAGAAGATGTATAAAGGGTTAACCTTAAATCTACATGTTGCCATCAGTCAACTATGTATAGAAAAGTAATTTATGAGGTAACTGAATCCAGAGTCAGCATTAACTATTAAAATAGAAAAGAAAAATATTTCTCAGTGCTCAAATGGAAGTTCTACTCAGTCTGGAGGGGGAGGTGAAGCTTCTCACACTAAGATCCTCATAGTGTACTTTTTCCAAAGGAAAACTCTTAAGGGCATATGCATCCACACACCCTCCTGGAGGAACCCACAAGAGTAAGCCGTGTGCTCACTATCACCCAACACCAGTAATCAGAAAGAAAAACCATTCTTTATACACCCTCTGCATTTACAGGCCCTCCTCCCTTTTGTGCTTATCTTCTATGCTCAGGAATCTGACTGCTCTTAAAGTGCTCTTAAAAGATTCCATCCATGTTTGTTCCCTGTCTTCCCTCTTCGTTCAGATTCTCAGACGCACAAGCTCTGTTTGCCTCAGGCCATCCAGCACCTAGTGCCAATGAGATTTCTCCCTGCAGGTGCTCAGGCTCTCCACCCCCTGGTTTCAACTGCCCCTCTGGCCTCAAGATTGTAGTTTTTAGCTGGGCCAACAAGAGAGGGGCCTGGTGAGGTGGAGGAAAGGCGGCTCTTTCTCCCAGAGGCCAAACACTTCAGTGGTAGTAACTTCCTCCAGCTCCAAACCTGCACAGATGGGAGCTGACTTCTTGGCAACACTTCTGCTTTAAATTTCATCATAGCCTTCATCAATTTGCCTCTGGAAACCCACTGGTTACTTAGATGGCTAAAGATGTGATTTTTTCTTTCTTTTCTGGGGAAGGATGGGGAGGTAAGATGAGGGAGGGGAGACTGGGGGAAAAGGTTAAGCAAATTCTTTCCAAGATGCAAGTGTTTATTTCTAAAATATATAAGTAAATATAACCACCACTTGACACAAGGCAAAATACTCATGCTAAATAAAGGAAGGGAAAGACAAAGCCAGTTTTTGTTGTTTTGCAAATACCAAGTAATTCTCCAAAGAAGAAGATGAAAATGCTAGTTTCTTTAAGCCCTTATGACTGTAAAGTTGGTCCCTGCTTAAACTTATAATTTTGATTTTGTAAAACACCACTGCAGTGTGAGCAAGGTCTATCTATTTGCCATGCATGGACCACCTTGGGAAACCACAGAACCGTCAACATTTCCTTACTGATGGAAACCACACTCGTGCAGCCTACAGCAATTTTGTGTGATCCATGGGCTCAGACTCTTAGCTAGCAGGCTAGGAAACACAGTGAAGATAAATGTACTGTGAATCGTTCCTGATAAGTGAATAAAACATTGTGACCAAACAATCAGCTTATTCACTTATCAGGAATCGACTGTTCTGCTAATTCACTGTTTTTGTTTTTCATTTCTGTTGTAGTTCACTATTTTTGCTGTGTTCTGTTTTCTCCTCTCATGCTTGGGCAAAATCACTGGGAATATTATCTTACATGTGACCATGAAACGTTTATATCGAGTGAAAATGATATCTTAACAAAATCTATGCACTTGCTATCAGGAACACAATACTGGATGTGTCTTATATATATTGAACTATATAGTACTCGATTTCTTAAATAAAGCTTAAGAAAGGACTCTGTTGTGTGCAAAATTAATGTGATTATTTTTCAAAGCAGTGTTTCTAAGGGGTATTTTTGGTTCTTTTAAGTCTTGAGTGATACAGGATATTTTTCATTAAAATTATATCACTGGCTTTATGACTTAATATTCAATAAATTGACTTTGGAAACAAAATGGAGTGGGGGGAAATTCTTCTGAGTGCATTTTAGTAAGTTATCTGGAAAACCATCCGCTTACTGGTGTCCATGGCAATGTCTACCCAGGTGTTGTGCGAGGCCAAACAGCAATCCCTTCATCTGCAAAAGTTCACTAGAAAGTGTCCAGAGTCAACTCTACACTAGAAAACCCAACTGCCTTTCTGAGCTTCAGCTCATAAGAAAGGGGACAAAAGAGAAACACAGAGCCAAGAGTAATACTGGTTTGTGTCAGTACTTTGCCACAATGATGTGACACTAAAAATGTACCCTGCTGAAGAACAATGACCATTCTATTCAGGACCACAAAATAAGAGACAGCAAGACAAAGTATTTGATCATTCGGGATGAGAAGGGTAACATTTCAAAGTGGTATGTGAGAAAGAGACATCCTGTAACAGTTCCAAAGCTTAAATGGGAGACCTGCTGCTTGGCCCTTTGAAGAAATATTTTTGAAATTTTTCCTACAGGCTATAAGTTTGAACAGAATGGCATTTTCTGTTGGATTTTTTCTTTTTTTCTTTTTGCTTTGGGGTTTTATGTTTGATTTGTTTTTCTTGTTTAATGTTTGAGTCTGAGAAAAACTTAAATTTCTACTTGCAAAATGGCATAAGCACCCTAACCCTTTATAAAACAAATTTTATTCATCCCTGGTAATGAGGAACAGGAAGAACATGGCTAATGAAAAATCACTGATAATTCAAAATTATTCTTCTAAGTCTCTGCCTCTTCCTACTCAAACTTGTCACACACCCATAAACTTCTAGTGAAAACAAAGGATCAGAGAAATAGCCAAGAGAGAGGACCAGGCAGCCAAATCAAGGAGTCTGGGTAAGCAGCCCTTCCTGGCACCATGCAGTTGGGGGCAGGGCAGAGTAGACATTGTGAAAAACACTGGTCTAAGTGAACTGGGCTCAGTGTTAAGAGTTGACTGTACACAGACGTGCCCTAGGGAAATCTTCCTCCCACAGTCTTCCCTTTTTAGTCTCACAACTAGAAAGAGCACATCCAAGGCCACTGTGGGTAGGAGGGCTCTGAGCCTCAGGTGGGCAAGAAAGAATGAAACCAGCATATTCTCCTCCTTATATACCCAAACCAGGAGCCTCCATGCCTCCTGAGCCAGGGGGCTGGATGCAGGGAGATATGAGGCAGCTTAAGTAGGGTCTGTTGCACAAGAGCTGTTTATGGGCAATGCTGCATTTCATCTGACCTCTCTACTGGTCAGCAGAGCAGACTGGCACCAACTTCTACCTCCCTGCATTGGGAGGATGTTTTAAGGAGAAAAAACATATATACATACATACAGAGTGTGTTCTGCAACTGGTCTCTTACAATGAAAGCTGCACATATGAAGTCCCAATTTGGGGACACTGGATGATCCCACTATCATGAAGCTGTTGTGGAAGGTACAGAAAGTGAATGTTTAGGACCATTCTCTGCTGAAGCAGACTGCCTTGGTTTGAATACTAGCCTTCCCGCTGATTGCCCATGTAACCTCTTTGTGCGTTAATTTCCTCATTAGCAAAATAAGGGTAATAAGAATACCTAATGTATGAGGTGGTTGTGAGGATTAACTACACCAATCCATACTGTATAAAATGATTTAATCCCACTTAAGTACTCGATAAATGTCAGCCAGTTAATAGCAATGGCAGTACCCACTGACATGGTCAGCTGAACACCTGCTGCTGGCCTGGTCTTCTACCTTCTCTGACAGGCCAGCCTCAGAAAGCCCCACAGCTTTCCCTGGGTAACTACGATAGGATAAGGTTGGACCAGAAACCCAACCACTTCCAGCAGAAATCTCTGTACTCACAAGTCCCAGAATGGGCATTTTCCCCTCATGAGAAACTGTCCACTAGTGGCACCCCACTTTACAGGTTGGCACACCACATAGTCCTGCCCTGAGGTAGCAAGACCAACAACTCACTCCATTCTCAGAAAAGGCAACCATTTACTCACACTAAGCCACCCAGCCTATGTATAAGTATTACATTTAATCATCTTTCCCAAAAAGAAAGCCTAGCCCATCTAGTCTGTGCCCAAGGCAGGAGAGAAAAGATCAGCTATCGATTTGCCTATAACAAGCCTGTAGGTTCTAGGCCCTTCCAAGGCAAAATTATATTCTTAGCACCAACTAGAATCGGTCTGTCTGTGACCACCTTGGGAAGAACAGAGGTTATGGCTCAGAAGCACAGATGTAGCCAAGCAAAGAGCTTTGTACATCCATCTTCACCCTACCTCCAATGAAACAAAAAACACTGCATTTGCTTGTTTTACTTATTAGTGATCTATGTCACATTTTATTTAGAGAAACAGTTTTGCTACTCAAAGCACAAACATTAAAAGCCACTGCTTTGGCAGAGAGTAACTCTGAGACTCTCCTAAGCCTGTGGCAAATATTGATTGTCTGTGGAGTAATTTTCTTCTCCCTTCCCCTCTTTACTCCAGCCATCTTCCCATAGTTCTTTGTCTGTTATACAACATAGCATTCACTATTTATCTGTACTGTTTATGTCTGTTTCTCAAGTGACTGTGCTGAGGGAAGTGACTGTGTCTCACTGCATCCCCAGGGCCACAGTGCCTGCCATATAGTCAGTGTTTAAGAATGTTGGATTGGGGCCGGGGATTTAGCTCAGTGGTTCCAGTGCCTGCATTGCAAGCGCAAGGTCCCGAGTTCCATCTCTGGTACCAAAAAAAAAAAAGAATGTTGGATTGATGGATGTGGTAGGTGATCTGGCTCAGGCTAGACAAAAGCATTATTAAATGGGTGATAACTGGGGAAGTACATATGGAGAGAAGTCTGGCTGGGGAATGGGCTGAAGATGGCTGAAACTGAAGTCTCTTGGCAAAAGTCAGGAATCACTATAGGAGGCTTGAGATACAGATAGGAATGAGGAAGAACACATGCTCATGAGTCCCAATTATGTGGGGAGAACCTTTGTTGCCACAGAGCTCATCAACTACTGGGTCCTGAACGCAAGGATATGTCTACAATTAGGTCAAGCTACTTCAGGTGCAGAGCCAACCCTTTTAAGCAGTATTTCACACCCTCTTGGGAATGTGTTATAGCCAGGGAATGCCTCTCGATAGACGTTCAACTTCTAAAAGGCCAGAAGAGCCAAAGAACTGAGTACAAATCAGAAAATTATTGACTGAAGGTGCCTGGTCTTGAGAAGCAGGCTACCTCCTCTTCCCCTGTCGCCCCACCACAACTGCTCTGGGACAGGGCAAGTCAGAGCCCACATCAGGATAAGGCCCAGAGAGCCATAAGCAGCAAAGCGTACCTGTGCCACCAAAACTGCCATGAAGGAAAAGGGTCCAAACTGCTGTTGGGATGCCATTTAGCTCCAGGCATTCAGGCGATGTCCTTAATTCCTAGCATTGGGTCTCAATTTCTCCACAGCTTCCAAGGAGGTACAGCAAGATTCATTAATCATTCATCCATTCAAAACACATGTGCTCAATAGCTACCCCATACTAGATAAACTGGTAGGGGCTGGGAATGCAAATACATATATTATCCCCTGCCTCCAGGAGTTTGCAGTAATTGGCCTTTCTGCCAAGTAAGGGGAAACCCTATGAAGAGGTAAGAAAGTGAATCATTCAGGCAAAACAGTCCTCACAAAGGACACGGTAGCACCATGGTGCCTACATGGGATTATGTGCTGAAAACCCAGGAAGAATCATAGCTCTTTCAGACTCTCTAGCCCTGTGATAGTGAACCTTTTAGAGCTTTCAATGATAAAAACAGCCCGCTGCAGCATGGTGCCATAGGTTCGCCACCACTGCTGTAGCCCCTGCCTGATCTTACTACTGCTCAAACTCAATGTTCCCATGCTACAGTTTATTTATTTTTTTCCCCCATTAAGTTTATTGGTACATTTTAGGTATAAAATACAGTTACATTCATCATTAGGATCTTGTACCTTTACATGAGTATCTTGGTTCTTATTTTTTCCCCTTCCCTTGCCCTCCCTTCACCTCCTCCACCCTTTCCTACTTGCGAAGACTTT